AGCTTCCACCCATAGGAAGTGGATAAGTAAAAGTAGTAGATCCTTTATATGTGTACGTCAGAATACCAGGTACCTTAATACAAAGGTAAGCCCACATGAACACTGCTCTAACAAAATGTTGCAAGAAATTCTTTCAACTCTCATGAATGGCAGAATGTTTCCACGACAAGTTTTGGGGTTTGGGGTTGCTTTGCTTTTGCAGTACTGAGGGTGGAACACAGAACCTTGTACATGCTAAGCAGGCACTCTACCACTGATTCACATCCTCAGCCCCATTTATGCAAATTTAAGAAAACACACAAAGTAACTCAACATCTTTAACAAAGATACATACACACTCAAGAAATTCCCTAATATGTGAGTGAAGGCTCCTCCGCAATGAAGGGGATGGACTGGGAATGGAGAAAACAGACAAGGGGCTTTGTACAGTGACAGGATGTGGTGCCAACAATTGGTCACATCTAAAAGGAAAAGAACTGGTCACATCTAAAAGGAAAAGAACACCTAAGTTCTGTGCATCTTCACTCACCTGCTTTGGCTTGAAACACTTGCTTCACTTTAAGTCCTCCCCCCACCCCTACCCCCAGCAGCTTTGCATCATTAAAGCATCCAGCTAGCCACTGAGAGTGGAGGGAATTCTTTCTGAAATAAGCATGGGGTAATTTCAACCCCTCAGAATCCAACATGCCACTGAGACCTAGTTTTCCCTCTGAAAGATTAAAAAGCTGGAATTCTTAGCTTTGGGCAAAGGAGGCGTGTATCTAGATGTGTCTGACTCCCTTCTTTGCCAGTGTGTGACTCTCTAGAGATCTCTGTGTATGTGTGTCTCAGTACTTGTATGTCTACATTTGTGTATGGTGTGTCTGTATGTGGAGATAAAAACTCTGGGTGAGACAAGGCATTCTAGCAGACAGTGAGTCACACCTGTTCACCAGCCATTCAATTTGGTTTTACTGAAACCAGAAGTAGCAGCCACAGATAGAAAACCAAACAATCTTCCTGCCCACAGGACTTGTGTTCTCTTCCTCTTTATCACACTCCCCCTACCTCACATCCAAATGAACTGATAAAACATTATCTTCTTACATTAGCTACCCTAATTAAGGTCACAAACTTTTCAGAGTAATTCTTGGAATGTAGTAGAAGATAATAAAAAATAATTTATATTCTTTTCTTTTTTATTTTATTTTATTTTTTTCCTGACCAAGAACCTTTAACAGAAGAGCTCAAATAGTTAAAGGTCAGGCACACCAAGAAAGTGCTTCTAAAAGAGGCTGTTGTGATTACTGCTATCCCCCCAAACTGGCAAAAACAAAGCCGTCTATCATCTGTCATGCCCCCACAGAATGTTGGCCAGTGTTCTGCAGAGCCACTGAACGGTTAGCTCTAGAAAGCAGTAGGGAAGCATGTAGGTCCATCTGAAAATACGTCACCACTGATCAAATTTATGTAAAAACAAGAAGTACAACAGATCCCTCAGGCAGCAAAGTAATCAGGCACATGCCAAGAAAGTATGTCTTTGGAGGGGAAGAAGGAACAGCAGGACGGAACAGACATGAAGGGCAGAAGAGGGGCACCATTCCAACCCCCAGCAAAGAGTGGGGCTTTTGTCCTCACAGCGCAAAAAATTCACACTGGTTACTCCCTAATGATTTCAATTTTCTATAGGAGCACTTTTCATTGGATAATAAAATGTCTGGAATCCTACAGTTGTCCTGAAATGCTTAATGGGAATGAAGCTTTGTCAATTAAAACACATAGGATATGCATCAGGAGTACTTTTTAGTTAAAAAACTAAATTCTGACAGTTACTAACATACGAGTCCTTTAGACTGTCACGAGCTAGCCAGCCCATTCTTCTAGCTGAAGTGTAGGATCTGCAACAAGTTGAAACAAACGATTTAACAAGAAAAAGAAATGAGTCTTTGAAATAAAACTGATATTTATCTTCAACACAAGGCAATTATATTTTATGGAAACACAAATGTCTTTAAGTGTCCAATGCACATAATGTTGTCTTGTCTTTATTCTAAAATTGGTGGGAGAGAACCCATTTACAGAGGTAAAAACAGATGAGAAAAAACATGAATACTAGCACTGTTCTATCTAAAGAATTTTTTAAATGTCAGCTGAATACGTATTTAATGAGTACTACAAGTCAGGCACTATGCAAGATGCTACTGACTCTCCAATGAGGAAGACACTTTCAACAAACGTGTGCCTTTAATTACATAATCTGTATCTTAAATTAATAATCATGCAAAGAAAGTTCCCAGATATTTGAGGTAGCTCAGTATCAGTGAAGAGTTGCAGAAAAATATCACTATTTTACTAAAAATAAAATGTTCTGATATCTGAAGCAGAAATAGAGGGAAAGGGGTTCTGAGGAATAGCTACCTAAACTGTGTGGTAGAGGGGCCACCTCCTGCTACCCAGCAGGTCTAAGATGGAGAGACTGTGCTGAACAGTTTAAGAGAACAGGAAGCAAGAAAAGGAGAGTTGTATGCAGAAGGAGGTTCCCCCAAAGCTAGGCATAGCCAACAGCAGGCACGGGCTCTGCAGCTTGCTCCCCTGGTTGCTCAGCCAAGGCAGGCTCCGGAGCTGGAAAGCTGCCACCTGCTGAATCACCAAATAGCCCTGGGTTTCCCTTAAAGCACTGACCATGTAGGCACCCTTCCCCCGCCGGTTTCTCCCACGGACACTCGGACCAATGAAACGTCTGGCCCTCTCCCCTGCTTCACAGACCCAAGCAGCTGCCCAAGCCCAGAACATCTGGGCGGCCCCAAGGCAACTTCCACCACAATGTCAGTCTCTCTCCTTCCTGTTCACTCAGCCCCTCCGATGTTAACACGCCCCCCAACCCCCAGTTCCAGAAGACACAGGAGTTCGCAGCACACCAAGACAGGCATTCACCGCTTCCACAAGCAGGGAGCCAACCAGAAACACCACCAATCTCAAAGCAAAATAATGTGTCCAAGCCGCTTAAAGGTCCAGAAAGGTAAATTTCAGGAGAGCTAAGACAGAAGGCAGGCCTCAGAACACAGAAAATAAACTTCCCGGCAGAAAGCAGCCCTCTGTGTTGGTTCTCTAAGTGTGCCCCGCTGAACTCTGTCCTGTCTGAAGGTGAAATGATACATCCGAAAAACACCTGCCCGGATTCTCCAGGCTCACTGTCCGCAGCATCCTTCCCGGATTTCAACTCGGATTTCAACTCCCGACAGTCAAAAGGGAACAAGCGTTAACCACAACACGCCAGGATGAATCCGTTAGCTGGACCAGAGGACCGAGCACCAGAGCAAGGCACAGCCCAGCCGCGGGTGGGTTAGGACAGGGGCAGAGGCAGCTGCTGCTGTCGCAGCTTTGCCCTTGACAAGTCGGCAGCGATCGCGCGGACCCCCTCATCCTCCAGGCATCCAGGTCCGCGCTGCGCGGATGGCCCCTGCAGGCCTTAGCCTTCAACACCCCCACGCGGCGCGGACACGCGGGGTCTCCGAAGCGCCGCGAGCCGGGGGCTGTTACGCGGCCTGCGGAGGAGGGGCTCGCTCCTCCGGGAAGTGGGTCCCACCTGTTATGTCGTTGGGGACACCGAGGAGCCGCGCAGAGGGGAATCCCAAAGCCTGGAGCGCCTGGACCTCTGCGGTCAGGCCAGGAGGTGACAACTGTCACGCCGCGCCCGGCTGTGGGGGTGGGGCTGCTCTCCAGCCCTGCCGCTGTCCACTCGCCCCAATGTGACACCAGGCAGCTTTCCAGCCCGCACGCAGCACCTGGGAAAGGTGCCCACTGCCGCCTCCGCCTTTCTCCCCGCCCCAAGTTGGCCGGGCAGTCCGCCGGCGGCCCGCCCCCTCGGAGCCGGGATCCGGCGGCCGAGCGCTCCCCCGGGCCCACCCCCACGAGCGGCGCCGGGACCCCGGGTACACGCGACACCGCGGGCTGCTCACGCCCCCTCGCCCCACCGCCCTCCAACCCGAGGCTCCCGGAGGTCAGGCCCTACCGGCGACTCTCGCTCCACCCCGCCCCGCCCCCGCCCCGCGACTCACTTGCACGCAAGTCGTGGCCGCTGCCGGAATTCCTTCCACTCGCCGAGCCCCCCGCCGCGGAACGAAACCCTGGTCCCGGCCGCGTGCGGGCTCCGCACCCCGATCCCGCGCTCTCGCGGGCTGGCCCAGCACCGAGGACCCAGCGGCGCCCGGCCAGCCCTCCCCGCTCGCGTCCGGCCCGCAGCCAGCCGCTGCCCCGGCCGCCGCCGAGCTGGGGAGAACGCTTCCGACTTGCGAGGCGCGGGGCTGCGGAGCATGCCCAGTCCGCGGCTGAGCCCGCCCGGCTTCCCGCGCGACGCAAGTCCGCGGCTCCGGGTGTTCGCGGCGGCCAGGGGGGGGCGGGGGTGCGGGGCGGGGGGGGGAGCGCCGGGCTCGGGCCGGACCGGGGCTGACTCGGTGGGGCGGAGGCCGGGGTTGGGTCCTTGTTGGTCTACTTGCAAGCACTGGGAAACCGGAGAGATCGGCGCTTCCCGGACGACCTGGAGGGCTCAGCTGGCATAATCTTTAGGAGGCCGGACCGGAGCCGGGTTTTATCGTCGGGGATCAGAAGCCTGATTCGGGGCCAGCGGGAGAGTGAAGCGGCTGAAGCCGGAAGCAGAGGACGCAAACTCAGCCTTGACCGCAGTTTGCGAACTCCACTGGGGTTTTCTTCCGAAAAAACTGCGACACTTGGGACTGACTTGATTGATCATTTAAAAGATGAGTGGCCCTCAAACTCTGCGCAACGTTTTCCAACCTCTAATCCATACACTCCCATCTTCCTCCCCCGAAAATCAAGGTGCTGCTGCGGCGCCCCAAATCCCGCAGCGCCAGGCAGCCCCGGGAACTCTACCCGGGGCGGAAAGTCAGGGCAGCGTGGCCACCCAGCCCGGGCCCCACCTCCTACCGCTGCTTGGAGTTGCGGTGAAAACCCGGAGAGCGCGGCGGCGGGTCCGGAGCACTGCGCATGCCCACTAGCCCCACCTGGTGCGGGTCGCCGGGAGATTTCCTCCCGCTCGCGAAGTGGAACCCCAGGGCCCGGGCGGGGATCCGGCTCGCGGCCTTCCAGGCTTGTCCGCGAGGCGCAGCAGTGGCAGAGCCGCCCGCACGGTGCTGCCCGCGGGGAGGGACTCGGAGGGATGGAGATGGGGAGCGGCCGGTCTACGCGACACGTGACTGTCCACGGTGCCCGAGGCAGCCATCTTCTGCGGAGCCCGGCCGCGGGCGAGGAACTGGTCCTAGAGCCCGCGGGGCGAGACCCCACCTCCTCCCCGCCGGGCTCGGCCTCCGCCCCCACCTGCTGTCGCCCGGAGGACCGGCTATCCTGGGGCCAAAGCCTAAGGGTTGCGAAATTGAGAGCAGACCTCCTCGGGCGAGGGCCTCTGCCTTTCTCTGGGGGCGGAAGTTGGAGAGAAGTTCCCGTTCCCAAGGCCGGGGCACCGCACCTTCAGCTGTCTCGCTCTTCTGACCCATTCCCCGCAGGAAACTCGGTGTGGTGGGGACGTCCGGACAGAGGCCATCGCTCTTCCTGCCTTGCTGGTGTGCAGCTTGGATGATTGTCAGTCACTGGGGTCCCTGTTAACCTCGAGACCCTGTCGCCTTCTCATCACTTGAGAATTCCTTAGGAAGGCACATTCTGAACCCCACCTAGACTGCGGAATCAGAAATGCTACTGTTGGGGTCCTACCTGAAATCTGATTAACAAGCACTCCAAGTGCTTCTGATGGAAGCTTTCCTAAACTTAGAGACCCATTTTCATGTGAGTCATTGAAAATTGCTTTGCCCCTTGCGGGTTTCTATGATCCGGTCCTCTTCAGCATATCCAGCTTCTTCACCCTGAGCATACTACCCGGCTCCTCTCAAAGAGATTAAGAAAAGGTGCATCTGTCACATACTGTTTTAAAATGACAACTGGTATTCAGTTGAGCTGAGTGTCTTGAGTTGTACTGGGAGCAAGGAAGTGTCTGTGAGTCATAGTAGCCCCACAGGGTTTTTAAATCGGTTTGCACCTAAAAGGTAAAAGGAAAGCTTGCTGTCTTGTGTTTTAGATGCTGGAAAACTGCTATCTGCTTTCAGTACTACTCTGCAAAATGTGCTGTCAATTTTGCACTTCCTACAAACAAGGTCAAAGTAGGCACAGGTGTAGACAAGTCAAGGATTAAAACTCACCCTTCCCACATACGTAAAGATGAATTAAAGTTTGCAGAATAGTGACAGTTTGTGAATCTTGTATCTAAGATGTTAGAGAGTTGGTTTTGTTTTCCTTTTTCCTATATATTCGAAATGTATTAAAAACAAGGCAACAAATGGTTTTCTATGAGTAATTTTATCATGATACATAACACATGAAAAAGCATGGTATAAAAGTGCGTCCACTTCAGTTTCATAAAGTACTTCTGAGGAAAAACACATGTAAATTCGCCATACATACAAACAGAACCATAAATAAGTCCAGGAAGAAAAAATCTGAAGAAAAATCACAAAAGCAGTAAAAGTAAATTCTGTATGACATTTATAAGAGAGACTTAGGAGTTGGTGTCCTTTGAAATTAAATTTAGTTATGGTCCTTAAGGCACAACAACAACAACAAAAAGATAACTTTCTGAGTGGTTCAGTGAGCCATAAAGAATCTTAACAGCCCATTTCTTATCAAAATTGTGATAAGGAATACATTGTTTAATGAAAATTTTTAGGATTCTCAAGTACATGGACTAGCATAGATTATATTGCTGTCAGAACAACTATGAAACAAAAATGAATCACCTCCAAGTCACAATCTGTTATTAAAATATCATGTTAAAAATAGTACCAAGGAAAAAAAATAATACCAAGAACAAATACTGAGGCAAACACTTCACTTGCCAAAATGACTATTTGGAAGTTGGTGGACTGTTTCCAAAGATTAGTAATCTAATAACATTGTGGAACAAAAATGTGGTCTTTATCCAGTTGACCTGTAAGCCATACCCACCACTTAACAAACCATAGCCAAAGTCTACACAGTGCTCCAAGATCAAGGAGGCTTCAGTGTGCAGCCATGGAAATGTGTCTCTGTGGAAGAATCCAGAGCCACATAGCCCAAGTAACTGGAGCAAGACTTCACAAGCATTCTCAGCCCTTTAAATGCATCTGGCCAACCTGCAACCTGATTTCTAAACCCAAGCTGGGTGGTGGGGAGAGTTGCCCAAGATAAGGCTGTTTCCAAGTATTTGGCCTGAGGAAAAGAACGCTTTAAACTTGTCCCCTGTGTTCCTTCCTGTGTCCCTACCCAAGATTCCTAACTTCACTCATTGCTGTCTTCTCCTATTGGTCAACAAAAAACTGGAATTATTTGACCATACTTGGCTAGATAGAGGATGCAGCAGACTCAGGAAAAAGAACTAGAAGACTAACAGGAACTGAGGAACACTCCCAGGCTCTCCCCTGTAATTCTGTTTAGTCACAGTCCCTTGCGGTCCTACTTTTTCCGCTTTCAGTTCATACAGCATGAAGCAACCACTGTCAAGTGTATTTATCTCTTACAGAAACGGGCAAGACAAACCTTGCCTGCATTTCTTAACACACACACACACACACACACACACACACACACACTCACACACCCATCTACTTGAGTCTAATTTCCCTTGACTACTTCATTGAAGACTACTATTGTTTCAAGATCCATCTCCAATTTCACTTTGTGCATAAAAATCATCTTTCCCTACATATTAAATGTCATAGAAGGGGGACTGGAGAGATGGCTCAGCGGTTAAGAGCACTAACTATTCTTGCAAAAGATCTGGGTTCGAATCCTAGCACCCACATGGCAGCTAACAACCATCTCTAACCCCAGTTCCAGCGCCCTCTTCTGTCCTTCACAGGCACTGCATGACACAGGTGCACTTAACATACACAAAATAAAAATTAATTAACTGCCATAGAAGGATATGTATTTATCTCTGACCTTTTGAGGTACATAGCAAATAACTTGGCACCAAGTAGCCCATAGTAAATACTTTTTGAACTATAACTTAAGATTGTCTTTTCTGTTTTCACTTCTCCGTGCTGTACTTTGGTAATGTCTTTTTTAAAATGTCTTTGTTATGTTATCCTTTGCTACCTAGCAACCTTCACAATTTGACACATATGCTTTAAAGCAATTTCCAAATTCAGTATTTATGGCTGGTCACTAACCAGGATAAGATGAGTGGATGGCTTCTACAGAATGTGGCACCTGTTGGCAGACAGGCTATACCACCATCTAAACCACCATTTAACTTGTGACTTTTCAAATAATCAGTGCATAACTCGAGGCAGGTTTAATTATTGCCTCTTAAAACAGGAATACTGTAATCCACCCCCTCTTTGCTTCCCATGGGTATCATGAAAATTAATTAGATCTCTAATATAAATATATGTCTATGGCATTTTTATAGACAATTAGGGGTAAACGTAATAAAAACATGAAGTATTGTTCAAAGTATTATAAATATTTATTTTATTTAGCAGTCCGCTTCCTTCCAGTACAAGTATTACAGCAATACTAGAACCGCACAGAATGAGTACATGTTGTCTTGTCTCCTCCAACTACTGTTTACAAATTCCAGTTATCTCCCACACTAAAAGTAGGCTTCCATAGCACCATCACCTGAATTTTACAGTTCCAGAACAAACCCTTCAAAGTCTTCAAATCTAGGTCATGCTGCAGCATGAACGGTGTGATTGAGGACTGGCAATTTTTCTGAAGACTCCCTTGTAAAATTTTGAAAGAGCATGTCAAAATTCTCCCAACAGAGCTTTTATAGCTCACAGGATATGGTCTCACCCCTTCCTTAACCCTGGAAGAGTAAGATAGCAGAGTCCAGGACACAACTGGAAGAGTTTGGTGAAACATTGACTAAATCCTGTGCTGCACTCCATTCTAGACCAGGTCTTCTCAGCCTCAGCTCTCTGGCCTAGCTGACAGGCCAGATAACTGTTGTAGGGGGCTACCCTGTATATTACAGGACACTTGGCAGCATTCCTGGCCTCAATCAACTGGGTATCACCCCCCTCCCCACCCCTCATCTGTGGCAGCCAAAAACATAGATCCAGACATTGCCACATGCTCCCTGAAAAGGGGCAGGGCATGCTATCCTAGTTTGAAAATCCACTGATTTAAACAGTGACTGAAGTGGAGTCACTGAAGCAAAAGGAACTGAGATCTTAAACTGATCATCAGCCTTCCTTGGAATCACCCAGCACTTCTAAGTACAGTGTTAGTATCTCAACCATCCACATTGCATCAATTCATCCAGTGATTGCCAACTTGTACCAAAGCACAAGTTTTATCACTATCTTAAGTTGTGGCTCCATGAATTCATAAGTTGACTTTATTAAAAAAAATAATAATGTAGGGGGTTGGAGAGATGGCTCAGCAGTTAAGAACAATGTTCTTGCAGAAGACCCAGGTTCAAATCCCAGCACCCACATGGCAGCTAACAACTGTCCATAACTCCAGTTCCAGGGGATCTGGCCATCTCTTCTGTCCTCCATGGGCAGTGCACAACATGGGTGCACTTACCTACACCATACCCAGGTCTTACATTTAAAAAAATATTTTATTATTTTTATTTTTTATGTATATGCACGTATTGCCTGCATGTAGGTAAGTGCTTTGGTACAAGTTGACAATCACTGGATGAATTGATGCAATATGGATGTTGTGCTCACACTGAATTGCTACAGATTGGGAGATACTGAGGTACAGGGGAGGGGCAGGGTGGCAGACTCAATATAAGCCCTAAGGATGCCTGAAGTCTGCTGAGCTCCATGTCTCTTCACATCATTCTACTTGCTTGCTAACATTTAGGGAGCCATATCACAAAAGACTTGGGGGATAGGGGAACTCATTTTATTAGCCCCAAAGCTAGGAAATGAAGTTTCTTCCTTTCCTAAAATCTTCTGACACGTTGTCAGTGCTCTAATTTTTTTTTTAAGTTTCTGTGCTTTTAAAACAGTTTCTATTCTTTCTGCATGAGTAAGAATGTGTGCCATTTCAGGTTCCTTGTCAGCCTCTGTTTCACTTAAATTTGCTGATTGAGTGCAAAGAAAGAGGCAGTGCTATCATTTCTAAACCTGATTCTTATGGGTTAGG